AAAATATTAAAAAAAAAAAAAAAAAACTACGTACTACACAGTGGCTAACTGAGCATAATAAAAAATAAATAATAAAATAAAAGGTGGACCTTGGATACAAATCTAATACAAATTAATATGTCTAGGGAGGGAGGAGGAAACATGAAATTGTGAGCTCCTTGGGGGAAGGCTGATTCATTGCTGTTGTCCAGCACCAGGCAGGCCTGACACACACACCAAGTAGCTATTGTGCAAATTATTGGCTCTCCTAAAAATGTGCTACTGTTTTCTCTTTTAGTCCCAAAGCTAATTTCTACCGGTTGACTGCCCTCAAGATTTTACGAAGGGCCCTTGCTTCGTGGCCCTCCCCCAGCCAGGGACAGCAGGACATACCGCACGGGTACGAAGAGGGAAGGCTGAGTGTCCTTCTTGGCGTCCTTGCGGAAAGCCATGCGGCTAGGCAGGTGGAGACCGATGTGGTAATGGACCTGAATGAGCAGGGCCAGGAGCAGCTGGGGGTAAATGCGCCTCACGCGGCCCACGCAGCTGTTGACCGACAGGAGCTCACACAGGCCGCTGGCTGCCTGGGGGCAGAGCAGGGGGCTGGCTGGAGGCTCCTGGCAGGGGCCCAGGCTGCTTCTCTAGAAGGTTGGACCTGGATCTTTGCTCTTCTCTGGCTCAAACTGGTAGAGCCCAGATCTCCCCACACCGCGCCCCCCGCCCCGCCACCGCACCCCAATTCCTGGCTCTGTGGGTGAGCCCTACACCAGAACAATGGCCTGCCTCTTTGTGTTGACACAGCCCTGGAAGAATTGGATGGAGGGCTCCTCTCCCACCTTTTGTGAGGTGGAGTCTTGATCCCATTGCGCAGGTGAGGAGACGCGCTCAGAGGGGTGAAAGCACTTAGCCCTGGTCACCTGGCCTTTGGGAGCAGAGCTGGGACTGGAACCCTGGCTTTCAGACACCAGCTTCCACATGCCCTGCCTCTTCCTCATGCATAACATAGGCACGGAGACCATGATGGGGCACCAGTTGTCCCCTCGCTTTGGGCCATTAAACCAGGCCGCCCTCACTGCCTCCCCTGGTGCCCAGCAACCAAGAGAAACAAATCCCAGCCTTGAGTGGGAGCCAGGGAGACCCAGCCCTGGACTCTGGCACTCCATGCCTACTGATCACTCCCTGCCTTTTCTCTCCACGACTCCCCACACCAGCTGTCCCAAGTCCCAGGAACTTGGCTTTATTGGCTTTTGGCCCACCATGCTCCCTGGGACCCGACGTGCTCACCGTCCAACCTCTCCACCTGCCATTCATCTCTGGTCCTGGCCTGGGCCTGCCTCCCGCCCCGCCCACCAAGGCCTCTCTAACTGGCAGGAGGACAATGCAGGGGCGGGGGGCGGGGGAGATGATGAGCTGGGGTCACGAGATTGGATAGCTCATTCTGGCCCCACCACTCCCTGGCCCTCTTTGGGCTTCAGATTCATTCATCCTGTCAAGGGGGGTCAACGGTCCTCGTCCCGCCAGCCCCACAGGTGTGGTGGAGAGTGAATGAGGGGAGAGGTGAGAATGCTTTACAAAGAAGTGACCAAGATCTGTGCTCCCATGCTGCTGGCCCAAGGGAAGAGCATTTGACTGTGAAGTGACAGAGCCCACGGCATGTTCCCAGGGAAATAAGTGACACAATGAGGGCTGGATGAGAATGATGAATGGCAGTTATTTATACTTTACAGCCTAGGAAGCCCTTTCACACACACTATTTCACTCTTCTGAAAAGGGAAGTTAGACAAGGCAGGACTCATTACCACCCATTTTACAGATCAAAACACCAAGGCTAGAGAGGGGGAAGTGATTGAGATTATATAGTGAGGCAGTGGCAGAGCTAAGATGAACCTCTTGGACTCAAAGCCTTTACGTTTTTCAGTAAACCAAAGATAATGATTGTATCCAAAAAAAACAGTCTGTGCTGTAGAGAAAAGTCTCTAGTGATGTGCCATAGGGCTCTGCTCTTGGCTCAGTCTTGCTCACGTTGTTTATCAACACCATGAGATAAAAAGTAGTCCGGGCTGTATCTATGCTCAAACTGTACTTGAACAAAAGCACAAATGAGTGACTCAAGAATACACTAACACACACTGATGGAGAGAGGAGAGGATGAATGACCAAATCAGGGAAAGAATGGAGGCTCATGCCTTATTTGTAGACCTCAGTGCTGGGGCAGAGAGGCAGAGAGACCCAGTGGTGAAGCACAGGATTCAGAAGTAGGAGATCTGGGCTTGAGCCCTGGCCCCACCACTCACTAGCTCTGTGACCTTAGCTAAGGCCTGGGATGTAACTGAGTAAGTGTCCTCCTCTGTAAACCTATTACCACCCATGCCCCCACCCGCCTTTATTCGCTTCCCTCCACCCGAATGTCTTGCTCTCTGCTGAATCCCCAGAATTCATGAGCTTGCCTGGCACATAGGAGGTGCTCAATTAATGCTGTTGAATAAGCAAATCAGTCCAACAAAACTTTTTTTGAGCATCTACTATGTGCCTGGTATATGTCAGACATTGAGGATATCACGGTGAGCAAAAGAGGCTCAGGCACTGAATCCATGCATCTCACAGATTACTCAAATGACCCCACAAATTGGTGTCAAATCAAATCACAACTGGGGTAAACTCCTCCAAGATAAAGTATGTGAAGCAGAGTGTAATATGCACAGATTTGATCATGTCAGGGAGATAAGAGAGGGCTTCCCTGAGGAGGTGATGCTTGAGTTGAGAGCTGAGGGATGAGTAGAAGTTAGGTTAGCGGAGAGCAGTCAAGAGAGGGAACTACATGTGCAAAGGCCCTGTGACAGAGAGAGCATGGTGTGTATGAATTTCTGACAAAGAACAAGGCTGGAGCCATGCAAGTAAGAGGGACCATGGAGTGTGGTAAGGCCCGAGAGGGGCTCAGGGCCTTGCAACACAGGTAGGAACACTGTGTTATTCTCAAGGGGAATGGGAAGCCATTGAGGGGATTGAGAAGAGCAGATGTGCATTCTCAAAGATTTTTTGGCTGTGGTACAGGTTGGAGGGGCTGGAGTGGAAGCAGGGAGATGAGCAGGGGTATTATCCAGCTGGCTAGGGCCAGGATGACAGTGACAGAGGCAGAGAGAAATCTGTCCCTCTACCCAGTCACCTTCCTGCAGTCAGAACCGCCTTTCCCTCTGTGTTCCCAGGGCTGAGCTCGGAGCCTGGCAGAGAGCACATAAACATGTTCCGTCATTAAATGAATGAATGAGGTACCTCATTTTATCTTCACGACCACCACATAAGCCAGATCTCCTCATTATCATTCCATTTACAGACGCAGGGGCTGAGCCTCAGAGAGGAGAAGTGACTTGCTTGGGTCACAAACTAGTACCCGTAGCCAAGCCTGTTCTCAGACCCAGGTCTGTGAGTCCCCCTCCCGGACTGCCCCCTTCCCTGTAAGCAGTAGCACCGTGGCATCCAGTGGGTCAGAAACAAGAGCCCGGAGACAAGAGCCCAAGCCACATGACTAGTCCCTGGCAGAGCAGGGCACTAGAAGCTGGGCATGCTGAGCTCCGCAGGAGGGGAAGACAGGGAGCTCAGGACAGGGCAGCCAGGGGGTAGGCGAGGCGGGTGCTCACTGCGAGGGGCACGATGGAGGCCCGGCCCTTCTTGGTGAAGGGCTTCTCCTTCAGGCTGGTCAGGAGCAGGTCCAGGAGGTCTCGGACATCACAGCTGGGCTTGCGCAGGATCAGCTGCCTCCACATCTCTGCGCCATTGCTGGGGGGCGGGGGGGTGGAGATGGTTAGTGGGGACCAGGGTGCTGGGGCCACCCTGCCTCCCAGTGGTTTGGGGAAGCAGAAGGGAAGATGCCATCAAAATTCCATGTGTGCCAGTGAGCAATGGTCCAGAAGACACTCTCTAAGAGGCAGGGGGCTAACAATTATTGAAAACCCTATTTCCCAGGTATCATGCCATGTGCTTTATACACAATTTATTCTGCAAATATGGAGCATCTGCTGTACCCCAGGCACTAGGCAAATCTCTGGGCGTATAGATGTGAACAAGATATTCAAGACATTCAAGTTCACTGAACTCTCAAATGACCCTCAAGGTGGGTTATTTTTCCCATTTTACAGATGCGGAGTTGAGGCTCAGAGAGGTGAAATCATTAGTCCAAGACATCACAGCTAATGAGCTGCAGAGTCAGGAAGTGACCAGGTCTGGTGCCTTCAAAGCCGGTGGTCATTCCTCTATACCAGGGGGCCCTTTGGGGCCTGGACCTTACATTTGTCACATAATATCAAGGAGTGCCTGCACCTGTCCCCATACAAGGCAGTACTCCAGGCAGGGGAAAGCCTCTGGGCCAGCCGGCCCCAGCCTGTGGGCATTCCTATCGACTGTGCGGACCTGAGAGCACTGAGAGGCCAGTGGTGCACGAAAGGGTTAACGGAACCCCTTGCCCCTCTGCATGAGCATTTGAACCTTCCATTAACTTGCTAACTCTGTTCCCCTGGAAACCTGATAAAGATAGTATGTCAACTATGTTGCTAGGCAACATTGCCTATGGTAAAAATGACCCAATTGGTAAATTGCATCTGGGCTGGGAGGAACTATAAATTAACTATAAGAACCGAAGAGGACGCTGTAGCATTGAGCTTCCCAGGGAGCAGTGACTCTTGGGACTGGGCTTGTCCCCGTGGGGACCCCAGAAGCAAAGTCTGCAGATCTTTTGTAAGAGAGAGCAGTTCTTAGGAGACATTTCAGCCAGGGCAGGCCCTACCCCTCTCACCGGGGAGGCCCAAGTGTCCAGCTCTTAAGCCCAGAGGGAAGACTAGGGCATCCCGGGCACAAGATGGTAGGAGGCCATCTCTCTCGGGCTCACGCAAGCACCGGCGTGGCACCTGAGAGCCGGGCCTCCTTCCATCTTGTCCCGGCTCTGTCTGGCCTGCTGCATGGGCTGCCGCAAGGACTCCTGGGAGGAGGAGCCCCTGCCCCTGCTCTGTCCTACGGCCTGAGCAACTCCAATGTCAGGTGTGGCCCTGCCAGTCTTGTGAGTCTGAAGGTTTGATGATTCCAAGAAGAAACCCTCTGGGGGGTGGGGGGTAGTGGGGGCCAGAAAGGGTGAAATTCTTCCAGGTGGGAGCACGGGGACGTGCCCCCCGGCCCTCACCTTCCCAGCCGGTCTCCCTGGCCTCTATGAGTGACGCCAACTGTCCCCTACTAGAAGCAGAGCTCATCACCCAGCTCGGCACGATTCTGCACGCACTCTCGTACAACTATCTGAAGGTGTGGGCCATATACTTGCTGCCTTGTTCTGGTCATTCAAAGATGTGGGAGTGTTTCCTGGGCTGGGAGGCTGGAGCAGTCAGTCTGGTCTCTCTGGCCACAGTGCCCTCTGCCCGTCAGACCACGAGCTCCCCTAAGGCTGAGAGCAGGGGGCATCCTCCCGCACCATCCAGCCCTGGGCAGGCACTCAGCTTAGCTGGCTACATTGCTTGTCACAAGCAGCCATCTGGAGTGGGAAGCATGCAGGGAGTATTTCCCCCTTTTGCCTTTGGAGGAAAGTGAAGCCCAGAGAGGGCAGGTGAACTACCCAAGACCACACAACAGCTGGAGGCAGAGTCAGGACCAACACTCAGGCCTCCTTTCTATGGCCTCCTTAGGGCTCTGGGCTTGGAGCTGGTCAAATCTGAGTTTAGGTCCTCATCCTGTTGCTTGCTCACTGGGTGCCGAGGACAAGGAACTTCACCTCAGTTTCCCCATCTGCAGAGTGGGGTTGTTGTACTGAGGGAAGGGATTAATGCTCTGCATTCAGACACCCAGCGGTGCTTCGGAAGTGCTTAATGGTTGTCATAAGCACCACAGACCGTACGGAAAAGGGGCCAGCTGGGAGGGCCAGGGCCTGCTCTGGGTGGAAGGACAGGTTCCCAGCCCAGGATGGGGGCTGCTCCAACCCTCTGAGGTCTGGTGGCGGGACCCCCTCCGTTGGTACCTGTCCAGCGGGAGGGGGCACATGAGCAGGGCCACAACCACCTCGGTCATGAAGGAGCTGGCCAGGAGGGAGACGGGCAGCAGGGCCACCTCGCGGGCCCGCGGCTCCTGGATGTGGTTCAGCTGCACGTAGATGCCCTGCATGATCTCTGGGATCTGGGGCACAGCCAGAGTGGCCGTGAGCAACCAGGCGGCCAGTTGGAGAAGCCAAGGCGGGCATGGGAGAGCAGGGAGAGGGGAGGAGGAAGGAGGTGGGGGTGGCAGGATAGAGGGGCAGGGGAGAGAGAGAGAGAGAGAGAGGAGGCAACAAGAGACAGATGAGGGGGCGGGCAGCAGCGCACCTGCTCCTTCCCTGGGAGACAGCCAATGGTCCTCACTGCCTTCCCCACCCCCGCCCAGATCAGCAAGTGAGTTCTTCCTCACCCGCAAGTAGGAGGCACCTAGAACTCAGCCACCACCACCCCTGCCCGCCCCAGTGCTAGGGGCTCCCGCACCCCCCACCCTGCCGCTGCCAGACGGCTGGTCTCATCCCTGGGGGCTCTCCCGGCTCAGCCCCTGCCCCCAGGGAGCCTTACCACCTCCAGCACCCTGTGGCAGTACCATTCCAGCACTGAGCTGAGCGTGACCTCTGAGGCCAGCTGCATCATCTCCCCAGAGTCCTTCCCCCAGGCCTCTGAGCTGCCTTTCAAGCCCTCCAGGGCTGCTAGCAACAGGTCCTTTATCTGCTGGGGTCCCAGGAAGTCTCCAAACTCCTGACACAAAGGCACAGAGATACAGACACCCGTGGACGGACCCCAAGCGAGCCACCACCAGATACACGCAGACGTCAGCAGGGCAGGCCGTGCAGACTCTGCGGGGGGCCAACCCTTTGGGGAGGAGCTACAGAAGAAGGGGAGACATGGCCCCTGCCCCCAGAATGGGATAACATGCTTCTGGGCAGGGACCAGAGGAGGAGGGGGCACTCAGGGTGGGCCTGTGTGGTTGGGGAAGGCTTCCTTAAAGGGGACTTGAGCCTGGAAAGATGGAAGCGGGGGAGAAGACATTAGGGTGGGCTGGCACTGCCCCTCTCCCCCGCTCCCAGGAAGGCCCCGAGCTGGTGGGCAGCAGGCGGTCACCGCAATCACGCGCAGAATATTCTGGCATGGGCTGACAGGGTTGTAGGGCCCCAGGAATCGCTTGTTGCTCTCATATAGCTCCTCCTTATTGGTCTCTTCCTTCTCTCTGGATCCTGCAAGAAGAAAGCCTCAGTGAGGCCTGGCCACCCTATTTTTTTTTTTTTTTTAACTTTTTGTTAAACACAGATGGAGGAAGTACACAAATCACAGATAACCAGCTTGGTACATTTTTACGGAATGAACACATCCAGGTAACCAGCACCTGAACATGAAAAGAAACAGAACATGATCAGCATCCCAGAGGCCCCTCTTTGCTCTCCCTTCCAGTCCCCTGCCCCCTCCCCCACCCAGGTAACCACTGTTCTGACTCCTAAACCCACAGGTTAGATTTCTTGCTATTGGACTTTATGTGGCATGTTCTCCTGTGTGCCTGGGTTTCCCTCAACGTTATGTGGGGGAGATTCATCCACTGTTGCAGGTAGCATTGACTCATGGGTTCGTGGTGCTGCATCATTTCCCATGGTGGGAATACACTACAATTTATGTCTCTCTCCTACTTCTGATGGACCTTTGGGTCACGTCCAGCTATTGGTGCTGCTATGAACATTCTGGTATGCCTAGTCCATGCCTTTTGGTGAATGTATGTACACATGTGTTGGGTATGTAGCCAGGAGCGTACTTGCCGGGTCCTAGGGTAGGCATCGGGTCAGCCTCAGGGGATGCTGCCAAATGGTTTTCCGTCGGGCCCAACTACGTGCCCACCAGCAATGCACGAGAGTTCTCGTGGGTCCGCATCCCACCAGTGAGCTGTTGGTTTGATTTCTGCTTTCTGGTGGGTGTTCGGTGATACCTCTTTAAATTGCAACCCCCCCTACCTGGCCTTCCCAAACCCCCTTTTCTGATTTGTTTTCTTAAGTGCTCGTTATCTAACTTCACTATACGTATCACTTGTTTATTTTGCTCACTGTCTCCTGACAATGAGAAGGGCAGCTCAACAGGGAGGATTATTTAACTTCATTGCTGTTTTCAGTGCCTTTGGAATAGACCTGGCACAAGGTGGCTTCATATTTTCTGTTGAAGGAAACACCTTTTAGGCTCATTTCCTAAGGCCCGACTGCGGCCTGGCCTGGATCCCCTGGGGTACGCAAGACATAAACACAAGAAAGGGCCATCGAGACAGAGGGACCCTAAGGACCAAATGTGTGGGTTATCTGGAAAGAAAAGAAGCTTGAGACCTGGAATCAGAGAGACCCAAGATCAAAGCCTAGCTTTGCTGCTCCCTCCACTCAGGGGGTCTGGACAAACCACTTCACCCTTGAGAGTCTAACAGTGTGGGTCTGGGGTCACCAGATAAAACACAGGATAGCCGGTTAACTGCGATTTCAGATTGCCAGGTCACTCGGCCTCCGGAGCCAGGGAAGTTTAAACAACATGCCAAAGGCCTGGACAGGGTTGGGACCGCGGAGAAAGGGAGGAGCAGGTAGCTGCCGAGATGGCACAGTACCAGCCCGATGCCGGTGAGCCCACTGCCCGTCCCCAGCTCCCTAACGCTGCGTCTACACATTGTAGCCGCTCCAGATTCTAACGTGGGACCTGTTCTTTGTTCATTCACTCAGTAAACATTCACTGAGCACCCACCTGTGCCCAGGCCCAGGGCTAGACCGTGGGAATGCAGAGGTGACAAATTCCCTGCTCTCGGCACATTAGGGCCAGCACGCCTGCATGTGCGTGGGGCCGTCACAGGAATGGGACGGTGAGAGTCACAGATTACACTTGGAAGGATGAGGAGGGGCTCTGATGGAAGGACTGCTTAAATCAAAATAGGTTTGCTTGTCGCCTCTGTCCTCTGGGTCTGTGGGGACTGAGGCTTCACACTGGCTTCTGCAGACCCCAACAGACACTTCGCTGGCTCCTCCACCTTCTCCCCGTGCCTTGCTGCCAAGGCTATAGTCCAGTCCCAGGCTGAGCACCTGCTCAGAAGGCTTGCCTCAGAGGCACTCCAAAGAGCTTACGTTTTTGGAGCTCCAGGATGGTGTAGAGGATGATGATGCCGTCCAGAGCCTCCCGGCCAATCTCCTCATCAGGATCCCCGATGCGAAGGATGAGCCTCCCCAGCAGAAGCCCCAGCGCCGGGAACCCCGAGGTCATCTGTTTGTGTCATAACTTCAGGGACTGAGTCTTATAGGTTCAATACTATTATACAGTAATTAGTGAACAGAGCTGGATGGTCTGGCCCCGATAGGAGAGCCCTCTGAAGATGACGAGGACCACCTGGGAACCTCGGGACAGATACACCGGCTCCCTTAGAGCCGAGAAGATTCTCCCTAAGAGTGTCCTCCCCTCCCAGGGGCCACTCACAAAGAAAGGCAGGGTCAGAAGCGTGTGGTTCAACACAGAGACATTGCTGTTCACAGCCCGTGCTCGCTCATGGGCCTTCCCGGAGTTCATCCAGGGCCCCAGGGGCTGTGAGGACAAGGGCGAGACTCAGAGCCACAGGCTGGAGGCCAGCCTTCTGCTGCCTGGGTGGGCAGGTCAGCCTTCACCAGTCAGCAGGAAGCTTCCAGGAGGGCATAAAGGCAACAGTCCACAGCCCCCCTCCTCCCCCTCCTCCAGGAGCATAGGGAGACATGGGGTCCAGAAGCTGAGGCTAGGACTGGAAGACCAGAGGGAGGAGGAAGGTCAGAGAGGAGAGAGATGATAGGTGGAGAGTCATGAGAATAGAAGAGAGAGAGAGAGAGGGATGAGAACGGAGAAGGCAAAGCCATGGGGGCTGCTACAGCAGGAGCATGGGGGATAGGGAGAGAGCGAAGGGGCAGGAGTTTGGAACAGGGCCTGTAAGAGGGACCCAGGGGTGGAACACTAGCACAAGGTGACATCTGGAAGTCAAACCACTCCTTCTGGGCACAGCCTCCCCACCGCTCTGGAGCCTGTTCTTTCCCCTCTGCCCTGGTGCTCCTTCCTGCCCCCACACCTCCAAGATGCTCTTCAGCCCGGCAGGAGTGGGGTCCTCCACAAAGAGGGCGTTGAGCAGTGTCTGCAGGGCTTCCAGGGTCTGACGGTAAAGTGTCTGTGGACAGGAGGAGGACCAAGCCACTAGGAGGCTTCTGGAGCAGACCCGGCCTGCACCCCCTGCTATGGGTCAGGGGACGAGCATTCGGACCCATGAGAGCTGCTTTCTGGCCCCACCTCGGAGACTAACTTGAGGTGTGATATTGGACAAATTATTCCACCCCCCTATGGGTTATAGTTTCCTTATCAACAAATCAGTGGGGCTCCTGGGTGGCAGAGTCGGTTAAGTGTCAGACTCTTGGTTTTGGCTCAGGGTCCTGGGGTTGAGCCCTGCGTCAAGCTCTGTGTTCAGCGCAGAGTCTGCTTGGGATTCTCTCCCTCCCTCTGCCCCTCCTGCGCTCGCTCACTCTCTCTCAAATAAATAAAATCTTTAAAAAAAAAAAACTGGTGATTATTATCCCTGCACTCCTACCTTAAAGGAGGAGGAAGAGGAACCCCAACATTGACTGAGACTCTACCATGGGCCAGCTCAGTGCCTGGTGATTCGCACAACCATATCCCTTTGTCCTCAAAGTGTTTTTCTCATTTTGCAAATGAGGACGCACTTGTCCCAGCTCCCACGACAAGGAGGCTTCAAGTCGTGAGGAACGAATGAGGGGATGGGTGGGGGAATTAAGAGCCAGATAAATGCGGGGGCCAGCCTTACTTGTATTAACGTCTCTGGGAAGTTCTCGGATGCTTTTTTTACTTGCTGCTCCTAGACCCAAATACATTTTCCAAGTTGCCTCTGCAGGGAGCTATGTCTCGCCTGCCCAGGTTCCCGCTCCCTTAGCCACACCACAGTCTGAGAATCGTCTTAGGAAGGTGCAGGCATTACACATACACAAGGTGGAAGAGTGGGTTTGAGCCACTCTGGGAAGACCCTCTGTCCCCTGGCTCCTCTCCTTCTGCCAGCTCGTCACATCTGTCTGTCTCCCAGGTTGTCCCTGTCCAGGCTTCCCCAGTCTGTGCACACCAGGGTTACACCACAACCACCAAGCAGGCCCCACTTACCAACTACCTCCTCCTTCCCTCTGATCCTTGGCCCATCGCTGCGCAGCACTGACCTCTGCTGTCTGGGCCTGGTACTGCAAGAGGGCTGCCTGCTCTCTTCCCAGGCTGCAGGGATTCCCCACCTTTCCTTCCGGTCCTGTCTCAGTGCACCACCTCCCGGGACCCAGGGCCCTCATGCTGCCAGTGCTCTCCAGCCTCGCTTCCCAGCACTCTTGCCTCGACCTCTGCGCTCCAGCCACAGTGCCCCCTTGTCATCTTTGCCATCACCATGTTCTCACTGGCCTCAGGCCACTGTACAGGCTGTTCCCTCTGCCTGGCATGCCCTTCCTTCTGCCATCCCCCCTTTCCCCACCAGCTAACTAGCTCTTCTTTAACCTCTCAGCTGCAGCACCATGACCCTTGACCCCCACCTAGGCCAGGACACCCATTCTAGGCTTGCTTGCAACATTTACCACCGCTGCAAATGTGCATTTATTCGTATGATTCTTTGACAATGTCCATCTCCCCCCTGCCCTCCCTCTACTGTATCCCCCAGCCCCTGGTGGTTTTGGAGTGAATGAAAGGATGAATGAATGTGCCTCCCTCCTGGTTGAAACTCCTCTCCCTAAACCTCCCCCACTGACCCTACATCCTACACTAAGGGTCACCTCTACCCACTTCTCCTGGGACCACCCTGCCGAGTTGGAAGATGCTCACAGGAGCCCCTTAAGGTTCTACCCTCACCCCAGCTAGGCCTCACCCCAGCTCACCCAGTCCTCAGCCCTCCTCCTCCCACTCCTGGCCACCTCCGCTGGCCATGCCAACACGTGCTCACATCCCTCTCTTAGGGCAGGACCCACAAGTGGACAGAGCACCCCAAATGAGCAATCCCTTATTCTGAAGATTCACTCATTCACCAAATATTTATCAAGTGCCTGCTCAGGCCAGGAGAGGTGAGTTCATCCAGCTTGGAGTAGGAGTGTGAAGATTCACATCTACCTTCTGGAACGCTCTTTCTCTCCCCACTAGGAGATCAGAAATGCACCTTACTCTAAGGACACTGACGGCCCTGAGGACTCACCTGTATGGCCTCAGCCTTGGCCTCGTCTTTCTCCTGCATGGCTTGCACAGAGGGGAGGGAGAACACACTCTTCACACACGTGTTCACCAGCTCTGATCTTTCTTGCCCACCCAGCACAGGCTGGGTGTGACTGGCGGAGACAGAAAGCAAGGACATTCAGTGAGGGAGGGGCCCTGGGGCCAGAGGCAGGAAGGTAAGGATTCAGGGCTGGGAGGAGGGCACCTAGCTGGGGGCCTGGGCATGGCCTGAGCAAGATGAGGTGGGGAGGAGGGAAGTGGGTGTGGAGGACTGGGCCTGGGGAGAGGAAAAGGCCCCCGAGTGGGTGGGGCACTGAGGACAGGCCCCAGAGGAGACAGGTGGAGCCCAGGGAAGAGGGGAAAGGGCCGGGGGTCGGGGAGGGGGCTGTGGACACCTCAGCTGGGTCAGGGTCTCCATGGCCTGCCAGCGGACGGTGCTTGAGAGGGAATCCAGTGGCTCCTCCCGGATCTGCCTCTGGACAGGGGATCACAGAGGGGCCAATGAGGGGGCAAGGCCACTGCAGACCACCAGGACCGAGGGCACTGTTCCGCATAGGGCGCGGGCCGTGGCAGCCCCTCAGCCTGGACAGAACTCCCCACCTCTACACCATGCAGGGCCTCCCCTGGGGAGAGCCAGCTCACAGCTCAAATCCCGTCCTGAGCTCAGTTCAAGGCCACCAAGCACATCCCACACTTAGGGCCCAGCAAGAACTGCTTCAGCAGCCTCGTGGGAAGGAGGTATATTTAAGCCGTGGACTCGCCCAAAGCAAAAAACACCATGAATGGCTCCTGAAGGGGGTCCACTTGAATTCCTTAAAACTGTCCTAGGAGCTCCTGGGTGGCTCAGTCAGTTAAGCATCTGCCTTCAGCTCAGGTCATGATCTCAGGGTCCCGGGATCGAGCCCCGCATTGGGCTCCACACTCAGTGCAGAGTCTGCTTGTCTCTCTCCCTCTGCCCCTCCCTCAGCTTGTGCATGCACTCTCTCTCTCTCTCTCAAATAAATAAATAAAATCTTCAAAAATAAAAAATAGGGGCGCCTGGGTGGCTCAATTTTTTAAGCATCTGCCTTCAGCTCGGGCCCTGATCCCAGAGTGCTGGGATCGAGCCCCCGCACTGGGCTCCCTGCTGAGTGGGGAGTCTGCTTCTCCCTCTCCCTTTGCCCCTCCCCCACTCATGCTTGCACGCGGATGCAGGCTCTCTCTCTCTCAAATAAATAAATAAAATCTTAAAAATAAATAAATAATAAAATTAAAACATCCTAATTACTTCTCACTGTTCATCTCCCATCTACACACGATAGGTGCTCAATTAATGTTAGTTAAATGAAGTTATCAAGGGCAAGGATTTGATCTTTAAGGGACCCAAAACTAAATACAATTTTGGGGACTTCAGTGGCCCAAACCATTCCAGTGGATAACTGAGAAGTGAATGTATTTTGCAAAATGATAAGGAAACTCTTGGAAGTTTCCCACCAGGAGGAATTTCTGGGAAAAGAATGTATTAAATAGTAACGACTGGTCCCGGGGCCCGGGCTCTACAGTGATCTGCCACCAGGTCGCATCCTTCCAACGAGCGAGCCCCTGCACAGGCATTACCACAGGCACTGAGGAGATGCGAAGGGCCAGGCTCACAGAAGGAAAATGGCCTGCCGAGCTCCCTGGGGGGGGGGGGGTGGGGGGCAGTTAGAGGTGGGCTGAGGCTCACATCCAAGCGTCCTGCCTCCTCCTCTGTCCTCCTCCCACCTCAAGCCTGTCTCATCAGTGGGTGGACTCCCACCTCCTCCCCACCCAATGCCACAGACCCGCACGGCGTTCCCACACCATCATCTTCTTCATCATGGTCTTCTTCTCGCCTTCCCCTTCCTGGCACTTCTGGAGGGTGATGACATTCTCCACCTCGGAGGCAGCAGAGGGCAAAGCCACAGGGTGAGAGCCGCGCTGACCCCTGCCCTCAGGGACAGCCCGCACACCCCCACCAGCCACCGCCAACTCGTCCCCAGCCGCCAGCCCCCAGCATCGGCTCCAGAGAAATGAGAAACCACGGGGGGCACTTGGGGTGGGGTGCAGATTTGGGAAGACTGTGGTGGCAGCGGGGGAGGGGTTGGATAATCCCTGAAGGGCAGCGTTTGGGGGAAGACCAGATTTCAGGCACTGCCAAGCACACCCCCTCTCCAGTCTCGCTCCCTTGAGGGAGAGGAGGCAGGAGCTGATGGGACAGAAGTGCTGACACCTCCCGCCGAAATCCCACGACTAGTAATACCTTTTAAGGGCTTTCTAGTATCCACTCTCAAGGGCACATCCTAGTCAGGTCAAGTCATCCTGCCACCTGGGAGAGGGAATACCTTTACCAACGTCCAACTAATCTATGAGTTCTCATTATCTTAAGGTAGAAGAAGAAAAACTCAAGGAATAGAGAAACTAACTTCATGTAGTGAAGAAAGCAAAGCAAGTGAACCTGACGGGCGGTGTGGTGAGTGCAAGAGGCCGCACTTCGCCACCGCAATCAAGAGGATGGAGAGCCCTTGAATCAGGGCTCATCTCATCGCTTGCTTGGACGAACAGAAGGCCATGAAGCGATGATGTGCCAATTCCTGGCCTAGCCCTTAAGGAAACTGGCAGTCTTTTCCTTCTGGAACCCAGCCTCCATGCTGCAAGGAAGCCCAGCTAGATAGGGAATGATGACAGCATGTGGAAGATGAGGGTCATCTCGGATGTCCCAGCCCCTGCTCCCGAGTGACCTCAGTCTACAGCACAAAGCAGAAGAGCCACATCACTGAGCCCAGACCGTTTCAGAATTGTCATACAGTCCAGCAAGTCCACTTCTGGGTAGTTAGCTGAAGAAAACAAAAGCACTCATTCTAAAAGATGTGGGCACTGCTATGTTGACTGCGGCACTATTTACAGTAGCCAAGATACGGAAGCAACCTGAGTGTCCATCGACGGATGAATGGATAAAGAAGGTGGGTGAGATCTATATGTACACACACACAATGGAATGTTACTCAGCCATAAAAAAGAACGAGATCTCGCCACTTGCAACCACATGGATGGACCTAGAGGATATAGTGCTAAGTGAAATAAGTCAGACAGAGCAGATAGAGAAAGACAAATATCATATGATTTCACTTATATGTGGAATGTAAAAAAACAAAACAAACGAACAAACAAAACAAAACAAAACAGATTCATAGATACAGAAACATTCTCGTGGTTGCCAGAGGGGAGGGGGTGGGGGGGCTGGGCAAAATAGGAGAAGGGAATTAAAAGGTACAAACTTCCCATTATAAAATAATTAAGACATAGGGATGCAATGTACAGCATAGGGAATACAGTTAATAATATTGTAACAACTTTGTATGGTGACAGATGGTAGCTAGATTTATCCTGATGATCACTTGGTCATGTATTTAGATGTTGCATCACTATGTTGTACACCTGAAACTAATATAATACTGTATTCACTTATAATATTGTATAATATAGAATATATATTATATTTTATAATATTCACTTATAATATTGTATACACTTCAATTAAAAATAAATTAAAATTAAAATTTTTCAAAAATTTCAGAATCATGAGAAATTGGGCCCCTCAGTCCTTAATCCCCCAGCGGAGTAAACTTTTAGACCACTAAGTTTTAGGTTGGTTTGCTAAATAACAACTGATAACTTAAACGGCCAAAGTGATGATAGAGGGATAGCTTATAGACTGAATGGTCATAGAAGACATCTCAGAAGAGTTGATATTTGGACTGAGTCCTGAATGACAAGAAAGAGGTAATCATTTAAAAAAAAAAAAAAAGGACGTAACCACATGAAGAACTAGAGGAAGTTCTGCCTATCTCCCCAAACTAGGCCTCACTTCAACTTTATTATGCTCATTTTGTAGCTGAGAAGAAACTTCCTGGCAGAAAGGACAAGTGCAAAGGCCCTGGGGCAGGAATGAGTATGGCATGTGTGAGAAACCAAGAAAGGCCAGTGTGGCAAGAACAAGGTGGACAACCGGAGGAATGCCATGGGATGAGGATGGAAACTCCTAAAATGCCAGACCTCTTATTACTCCTGGCACCCTCTCCCCATGCCCCACCCTGGGGCACCCAGGGACTGGAGTTTGCCTCTGAAGCAGCCTGAGGGCAGGGCCTCCCTCCTGCACGGCCTGGCCTGGGTGGATCCCACCTCCAGCCTCCGTCCACCAGCCAGTCTCCCTGACTGTGTGTGTGTTCACACTCACGTCCAGCAGCCTGTCCAGTCTGCCCCCACTGGCCCTCACCAAGTCCTATAGGTGCCGGCTTTCTCTGGCCTCCTTCAGTGCTTAAAAACCTTTATTAAGCACCTATGATGTGCCAGGCACCGTTCTAGATGCTCGGAGTAGAGCTGGGAATAAGAGACCAAACTCCCTGATTTAGGGGGCGCCTGGGCGGCTCAGCCGGTTAAATGTCTGCCTTCAGCTCAGGTCATGATCTCAGGGTCCTGGGATGGAGGCCCACCTCGGGCTCCCTGCTCAGAGGGGAGTCTGCTTCTCCCTCTCCTTCTGCCCCGCCACTCATGTGCGCACGCTCTCTCTCTAATAAATAAATAAAATCTTTTTTTAAAAAAATCCCTGATTGATAAAGGACATATTCCAGTGTGAGAGGCTAACAAAAACCAAATGAAGTAGCAAAGCATAGTGTATACCAGATGGTGATGAGTCCCAAGGAGAAAAGAAGAGCCGAGCAGAGAAACAGGGACCACTGGGGCTGGAGAGTGGGGGAGGGGGGGCACCCTGGGGAAGTCAGCTGGGGGTTGGGCAGGAAGCATACCAGAGCCATCTTGTTGTCATCTTCGCTCTTCCCTGGCACGTTCACCAGGCATGAGGTCACTTCATCGAAGACTCCTGAATGTCACAGTTTCAATGAGGAGACAAGAGGGAGGGTAAAGATCTGATATAGATCTGGTGCCATAGTCCTGTCTCCTCTCCCCCCACCGGGCCCCTCCAATCCTTGTTTTCCTAGCTGCCAGACTGAGCTGCCTTCCCTGAAAGCCTTCAGTGGCACCCCATTCCACTGAGCATAAAGCCTCCATTCTTGTCAGGACCTCAAATCCCTGTGGGATCAGTGTCCTCTGCCCACCTCCCCAGCCTATCTCCTGCTGCTCTCCTCTGGCTCACCATGCTCTGGCCACACTGTCCTCCTTCCAGGCCAGGGCAACCTTCCCGCCCAGGGCCTTTGCACAGGTGGTGTCCTCTACCTGGGCCACTCCACTACCACACCCCACTGGCCCAGCTGGGGCTCCCCTCCTTCAAATCTCTGCTTGCCTGCCACTCCGCAGAGAGGCCTCCCTGACCTTCAGGGTAAAGGAGGACTCACTACAATCCTCTTGAGCATCATCCTATTCTCTTCTTTCAGCTGTTATCACAATGTATAATCAAACTGATTTGTTATAGTAGATACCTGTTTTGTCAGGCCTAGATTTCCTCATCTTTCTTCTGGTGAAAGAGGCCCTTCTCCCCTGTGGGCTACCCTTTCCATGTAGCTAGTAAAGCTGGATTATGCAAGCCCACCCATCACCCCTTCTTCAGATAGGGGTGGGCCTGGAACCCAAGCTTGGCCAATAAAAGCATCCCATGCCCCCAGCCACAGTGATTGGCCCAGGGATGGGCACTTGGCTGAACAGGACCAATAGAGCCCCTTATTTAAGAGCACTGAGGGAAACCCAAAAGAAAATGGGTCTCTTTCTTTCTGAGGGCCTATGAGTGCCTGGAACTTGGTTCAGGGCCATCTCGACTACCAGAGGCTTCTGGAGGATGGAGCCAACAGGGAGAGGAAGAGACACCAATAGTAGTGAACATGGCCTGCTCCAAGATCTTGTCTCCTAGGTACCTTTTCCACTGAAAGGAACAAGCCTTCTCGGAGAAATGGCTGAGCCTGGGATTTGGGCAGCAAAGTTCAGAATGAGCCTGAGACATCTGGTACCGGAAAACAAGAGAGCTCAAAGAATGATGGGGACATGTCAAAGGGACATAAAAGCTTGGTTAAAGGGGATCCCACTGGCCAAATTGGGGACGATTTGGGTATCACAGTAAATAGTGGTAGCAACAGATTATAGTTCATTGAAAAACCTAAGAAATCATGAGTCTATACTAATATAAACAAGTACATGAATACATTGAAAGTTTGATGAGGAATGGAATATTTACATAGTTTCCAAGTACCTCTCCACATAGCGTTTATTACAAACAGGTGGTTTAAGTGCTACTAGCGTCTATTGGGTGGAGTCCAGGGATACATCTTTTTTTTTTAAGATTTTATTTATTTCTTTGACAGAAAGAGACACAGCCAGAGAGGGAACCAAGCAAGGGGAGTGGGAGAGGGAGAAGCAGGCTTCCCGCTGAGCAGGGAGCCCGATGCGGGGCTCGATTCCAGGACCCTGGGATCATGACCTGAGCCGAAGGCAGACGCTTAACGACTGAGCCACCCAGGCGCCCCCAGGGATACATCTTACAATGCATAGGTCAGCCCCTCCACACCCACACCCACATCCCCACAACAAAGAATTATCTAACAAAATGTCAGTAGCGCCAAGGTTGAAAAATCCTGCCCCAGGAGACGGGTATTAAATGGAAAAGGTCACAAGGGACGGTTCTGGGCTGCTGGAAAAGATCTCTGTCTTGATCTGTGTGGTAGTCTCCAGCATGTATACATATGTAAATACTCATCAAGCTGTACTTGAGATTAGTAGTACACTTTACATATTTTACTGATACATGTTATGTATCTTGAAAAGGTTTTTTAAAAGGCTAGTACAATTTGAAAACATGTTGTCTTTAAAAATGCAAATGGACAACAGATGCCTGGGTAGCTCAGTTGGTTGGGCGTTGACTCTTGGTTTCGCCTTACCTCTGCCTCTGGTAGTGATCTCAGGGTTGTGGGATGCCCCCGACTCAGGCTCCCCACTCAGGGATGGAGTCTGCTTGTCCCTCTCCCTCTGCTCCTTCCCCTGCTTTCTCACTCTCTCTCAAATAAATAAATAAAATCTTGAAAAAAATGCGAATGGACAAAATGTTCCTATTAAAAAGCAAAGATTGGGGGCACCTGACTCAGCCAGAAGAGCATGTGACTCTTGATCTCAGGGTCAATTTGAGCCCCACATGGAGTGTAGAGATTACTTAAATAAATAAAACTTCATTTTTTTAAAAGATTTTATTTATTTATTTGACAGAGTGAGAGAGAAAGCACGAAGGGGGGAGGGTCAGAAAGAGAAACAGACTCCCTGCTGAGCGGGGAGCCCGATGCAGGATTCAATCCTGGGACTCCAGGATCATAACCTGAGCCAGAGGCAGATGCTTGACCGACTGAGCCACCCAGGCACCCAATAAATAAAACTTAAAATAAAAATAAAAAGCAAAGATTGACCCTAAATAGCCAAAATAATCTTAAAAAAAAAAACCAAAAACAAGAAGTTAGTAGACTCACACTTCCTGATTTCAAAACTTACTATAAAGCTATAGTAATCACAACAGTGTGGTTTTGGCATAAGGACAGACATATAGACCAATGGAATAAAATAGAAAGCCCAGAAATAAATGTAGTCAATTGATTTTTGACAAGGGTGCCAAGACCATTCAGTGGGGAAAGGATGGCCTTTTCAACAAATGGTTCTGGGAAAACTGGATTTCCACATGCAAAAGAATGAAGTTGGGGGCGCCTGGGTGGCTCAGTTGGTTAAGCGACTGCCTTCGGCTCAGGTCATGATCCTGGAGTCCCTGGATCGAGTCCCGCATCGGGCTCCCTGCTCGGCAGGGAGTCTGCTTCTCCCTCTGACCCTCCCCTCTCTCATGTGCTCTCTCTCATTCTCTCTCTCCCAAATAAATAAATAAAATCTTTAAAAAAAAAAAAAAAAGAATGAAGTTGGGCCCCTACCTCACACTATATGCAAAAATTGACTTGAAGACTAAGATTAAAAGCTAAAACTACAAACTCTTTAAAGCAAGCATTGGAGGAAACCTTCGTGATATTGGATATGGCAATAATTTCATGAATATGACACCAAAAGAACAAACAATAAAGGAAAAAATATATTGGACTTGGTGAAAATTTAAAATTTTTGTGCATCAAAGAACACTATCAGGACACCTGGGTGGCTCAGTAGATAAAGCGTCAGACTCTTGATTTCGGCTTGGGTCATGATCACAGGGTTGTGAGCGGCTCAGACCTCAGCGCAGAGCCTGCTTATCCCTCTCCCTCCTCTTCTGCCCCTTCTCCTGCTCATTCACGCACGTGCTCACTCTCAAATAAATAACTAAATAAATAAATAAATCTTATTAAAAAGAAAAAAGGAACCACTACCCAAGAGAATGAAAAGGCAACTCACAGAATGGGAGAGAATATTTACAGAACTTCTAAAACTCAACAACAACAAAAACAACCAAATTTGAAAATAGGCAAAGGACTTGAATACACATTTCTCCAAAGAAAGCATACAAACAGCCAATAAGCACATGAAAAGATGCTCAACATCGGTCATCATTAGGGAAATGCAAATCAAAGCCACGATGCGATACCACTTTACAGCCTTTAGAATGTCTATTATAAAAAATATTTTCGAACGGAGAAAAATAACAAGTGTTGGCAAGGAGAGATTAATTGTGTAGAAATTGGAACCCTTGTACATTGCTGGTGGAAATGCAAGATAGAACAGCTGCTCTGGGAAATAATTTAGCAGTTCCTCAAAAAGCTGAACATAGAATTACCAGATGATCCAGCAAATCCACTCATAGGTATATATCTAAAGGAATTGAAAGTAAGGATTCAAACAGGTACTTGCACACTGATGTTTATAATAGCAGCATTATTCACAATAGCCAAAAAGTGGGAACAACCCAAGTGCCCATCCATGGGTGAACAGACAAATAAAATGTGGTACACATCTTGGAATTTTGTCCAACCATAAAAAGAAACAAAGTACTGATACATGATACAGCATAGATGAACGTTATGGTAAGTGAAATGAACCAGACACAAAAAGTCAAATATATGATTCCACTTTCATGATGTATCTAGAGTAGGCAAATTCACAGAGACAGAAAGATTAGAGTTTAGCAGAGCCTGGAGAGAGAGGGATGGGGGGCTGTGGCTTTATGGTATGAGCTTCTATTTGGAGGGATGAAAAAGTTTGGGAACTAGATAGTGGTAATGGTTGTACAATATTGTGAGTGTGACTAATGCCCCTAAATCATACACTTAAACACAGAGTCGCCATATGACCTAGTAATCCTATCTCTAAGTGTATACCAAAGAGAAATGGAGACATATCCATACAAAAATTTATGTATGAATGTTCATAGCAGTATTGTTCAAAATAGCCAGAGGGTAGAAACAACCCAAATATCTATCAACTGATGAATGGATGAACAAAATGTGGAATACAGTGGAACATTATTCAGTCATAAAAAGGAATGAAGGGACGCCTGGGTGGCTCAGTCGGTTAAGCGGCTGCCTTCGGCCCAGGTCATGATCCCAGGGTCCTGGGATCGAGTCCCATATCGGGCTCCTTGCTCAGTAGGGAACCTGCTTCTCCCTCTCTCTCCCTCTGCTTGTGCTCTGTCAAATAAATAAAATCTTTAAAAAAAAAAAAAAAGGAATGAAGTACTGATCCACCCTACAACATGAATGAACCTTGAGAACATTATGCTAAGTAGAAGAAGCCAATCACAAAGGACCACATATTGTATGATTCCATTTATACGAAATGTCCAAAATAGATAAATCTACAGAGACAGAAAGTAGATCAGTGATTGACTGGGACTGGGGGTCATGGGTTGGGGATGACATCTAAGGGGTATAGAGTTTCTTTTTGGGGTGATGAAAATGTTCTAAAATGGATGGTGGTGAGGGTTGCATAACACTGTGTATATTTTTAAAGCATTAAATTGTACACTTTAAGTGGATAAATTTTATAGTTATATAAATTATATCTCAATAAAGCTGTTTAAAGAAAAAACCAACTTGCAGGGCACCTGGGTGGCTCAGTCGGTTAAGCGTCTGCCTTCGGCTCGGGTCGTGATCCCAGGGTCCTGGGATCGAGCCCCACATTGGGCTCCCTGCTCAGTGGTGGGTCTGCTTCTCCCTCTATCCCTCCCCTGCTTGTGCTCTCTCTCTCTCAAATAAATAAATAAAATCTTTTAAAAAAGAAAAAACCAACTTGCATCAAGTTCCTCTATATCATCAGCATCACCAGCACAAAATAGAAATTGTATTAGAAGATAAGATATGCTTTGTGATAGCAATAAAAACTATAAAGTACCTAGGAATTAACCTACCAAAAAAAAGCACTAGACCTTTATGGAGAATTTTTTTAAATTCTAGCAAAGGGTATATCCTATATAAAGGAAAACTTGAATAGACGGATAAATCAATAACATTCCAATAAAAATGTCAGAAAAACTTTTTGAGGACTTAGACAAATGTATTCTAAAAGCATATGGAAAAAATAAGTAAGTAAATAAATAAACAAACAAACAAACATTAAATGCACATGGAAGGGGCACCTGGCTGGCTCAGTCAGTGGAGAATGTGACTCTTAATTTCAGGGTTGTGAGTTCAATCTCCACGTTGGGTGTAGAGATTACTTAAAAATAAAATCTTAAAAAAATTTTTTTTGTTTTTAAACGTATATGGAAGAATGAGAGTCTACTAATAGCCTCCAGGGCACAGTGTGGATGCTATTGTCCTCAGAATAATTTTGAGAAGAACTTCAAAGAGGAATGCTCACCCTACCAGATACATATTGTACCTTTGTAAATACATATTTACAAAGCCATGGTATATTTTTAAAAATCACAATGTGGTATTGGTGCATGAACAAACAAAAATATTTGGAGATACAAATAATTGGGAAAAGGTCTTTACAACATCAACAATCGACAAGGGATTAATTTTCAGAACTCCTGCGTATCCCAGGTGAGTGAGGCGGAGGCTCCAGACAGGCCCTTCAAGGCTTCACTCAAGTGAGGATGTCAAACACTCAACAGAGGTGAGCTGAGCCTAGAGCCTGCCTGCTCCATGGGTCAAACTTGACCCTGAGAAGCCTGGTCTGAAATTTAACTGGAAAGAAACAGGCCTATATTTTGAAAGAAATGTATAGTTAGTTGTGTGACTCATAATTTGGACATAATAAAAGTGTTATGATATGGAGTTATTTCAGTTACGGAAATTGAGGCTCAGAGAGATTATGTAGCTCCTCCCAGGTCACACAGCAAACAGAGGCTGAGCACTAGATCTCTTGTGTATAATTAATATATTGCATGCTGTCCACTGCAGGCTATTCCTTCCTCCTCCCACTCCTCCTCTCTAGCCTCCCTGCCCTACAAGTCTGAATACAAAATTCTTCCAGGGTAGTGCCCTCTCTGGGGCTGTCACCCTTGCTGTGCTTACCCTCTGGGATGCTTTGGAAGGCCGTGGTGTCCTCGTCTGTGGTGTTACGGGTGGGGAACCCCAGCGGGAACTGACCAGTCTCAGTGCTGACCATCTCGCCCCAGCTCCCCAGATTCTCATCCAAGGGTATGGCATGGATGCTGTTGTCCTCAGAATAATCCTGCTGGCTGCTCAGTGTCAGGGTGGAGGTGTCACTGAAAATGAGGCTGGAGCCCAGGCTGAGGGTCTCATTGGAGCCCAGGATCAGGGTCATGCACGAGGGTGGAGAGAGGGTGGAGTTGGGTCCATGGGTGCTGGAGTGCAGGCTGATACCATCACTAGAGCCAGGAATCAGGGTCAAGCATGAGGACTGAGTGATGGTCATGTTCAAGTCAGACCTGCGATTGCCATTCGAAGCCACGTTGATGGTTCCCTTGGAACTTGTGTTCCAGGCCGCACCAAAGGCTCCTTTTGAGACAGACCCGGAGATCTTATGTGAAACCGCATTGATGGTCTCGTTGGCATCTGGGATCAGGGTCCCACCAGAACCTCGAGCCGCATGCAGGTCCAGCTTAGAGGTGTTTCTTGAGCCCACACCGAGTATCCGGTTGGCGTCTGGGTCCAGAGAAGAGTTTGAGGCTGGAGTAAGGAGTGCTTTCGAGCCTGGCCTGGAGACGCATTGGCCCACAACCAGGGCTTCTCTTGAATAGGGCCTTATAAATGGGTTTGCTTCAGGCCTGGAAGGATTGGAGTTACTCTGACCCAAATCAAAAATCTTGCTTGGGAGGGAGTTGAGAGCCTCCTCAGAATTGGGCCCTGTGTGGCTCCCTGAGCTCAGACCCTGGGCCTCAGAAGAGCTAGGGCTCAGAACGAGGTTTGAGGCTGGACTTGGGGCCCTCTGGGAGGTAGGCCTCAAGACCTGATTTGAACTCGGGCCCAGGGCTTCACCTGAGTGGGAAGTGGTGATCTGGAGGGAGGCGGGGCCCACAGTCCAGCTGTCCGCAGGCCTGAGGGTGTTACCAGTCACCAGGCCAGGGGCCTCCTCTGAGACAGGACTCAGACTTGGATTAAGGTCTGGAACAAGAGCTGAGCCAGGATTCAGGGGTGGGTTCATGAGAGGAGCAAGGCCCATGTCTGAGTGGGGCCCAGAGATGGTGCTGGAGCCTAAATCTGAGGCCTCAGTGAAGCTGAGACTAGGTGTCATCTTCGAGCTTTCACAGAGGACCAGACTAGCCCCTGGGTTCAGGGCCATGCCCGGTCTGGCGGTCTCTCAATGCCTCTGCTTCCTTCTCTCTAATAGCCAACTGTTGAGCTCCCTGCAATGCTCCTGAGAGAGAAAAAGGCAAATTCAGCATGCTTCACCTTCTAAGTCATGCTTAAAACCTTTCCATGGCTCCCCACTATCCTTAGGATGAAAGCCCTTGCATGACTTCCCAGGTACTTCGTGACCACGCCCAGCCCACCTTTCCAGCCCCATCCACACAGCTCTGCGCCTTGCACTCTGGGTCGCAGCCAGATCCCCCGGGGTTTCTCTGGCCACACCCTGCTTCCTCTCAGCGCTTGACCCTTAACCAGTGCAATTCCCTTGGCTTGGAACTTCCTCCCGCTGTCCTTTGCCAAGCCCACTCCCCCAGGCAAAATATTCATCCTACTTTATTCCAGTGACCCATTTCGTGGTCTAGCCTCTGGAAGAGGTGGCAAGAACCATGCTTATCTTAGTCCCTGGGACATCCCCAGCCTCTAGCACCCAGTGGGAAGTCCATAAATACTAGACCAAGGTAGAAAAGGGCAAGAAGGAGCCTCCTTAGGGGTTACCCTACTTCCAACCTAAATTTCTAGAACTACTCTGCAGATGGCTGTGGCACTGGGTTCCCAAAACAGCCCCTGGCAGGGCTACGAACTGGCCTTGACAGTTTGCCTATTCTGAGTGGGGCAGGCTACCTGGGAGGAGAACCTGGGGCAGTCCTCCAAACCAGAGCCCGCCTCACGCCAGCAATCGGACTGCAGGGTGAATTCCCCAACCCTCTCCCCACCCTACCCCACTTGCACCCTTGGGCTCCTCTCCCTGTGGGAATCACTGGGAGAGCTCACCTGCATTCATGGTGTTCTTAAGCAGGACTGGGCCCCTGCGAGGAGACACAGAAGAAGACTGAGTCAGGTGAAGTGTGTTTTCTCAATGCTTGCTGAGCAAAGTCAGGCCAGACATGCACAGCTGCTAACCAAATCTGCCCCCCTCCTCCCCCCACACACACAGAGTCCTAGAAGTTAGATATTATTGCTCCATTATATACTTAAGGAAGTGGAGGTCAAGGAAAAGAATGTCACCAACCCTACCAGCCCTCAGGGAAGCCAAGACCATCTCTTTATGCCACTCATCCACCTAAACTCTTCCATGGCGTTCCACTATCTTCAGGACAACATTCCCAGGTCTCAGCAGGACCTAAAAGGCCCTTCTGTGTCTGGCCTTAATGCCCCTTTCACTCCTCTTGCCCCTCCAGACTCTCTTCCCCACTCCACTCCACCACCCTTCAATGCTTCTGTGTTTCTCCAAAGAGCCAGGCTCCCGGGTTCGGTCTGGGCCTTCCAGGAGTTAGGCGTACCCTTCTCCAGACTCCTTCCCTGGCTAGCACCTATGGCTTCACCCTTCAGATTCCAGCTTAAGAGCCTTCCAGGTCCGCGAGAAAGGTGAGGTCCACTTGTAAGTTCCCCGGGTACCTTGTCCACTTCTCCTTTGCTGGCACATAATAATATCTGGTCTCTCCACTAGGCAGCAAGACCTCGGAGAGTCTAACATAGCACCTGGCACACAGGAACTGTTCAGTAAATAAGCTGCTTGCTTCCTCTTCTTATGTCTTCTTCACTCATTCATTCGCTAGCTCATTTCATCGCTTATTCATGTATTATTCATTCACACACTAACTCATTCACGAAATCATTTACTCATTCTATAAATTTCGCTGTGCCTCTTTATAGCTTGGCTTCGGAACCACCATAGATTTGGAGTCATATGGCTCTGGATTCCATCCCAGTTCAACTGCTCACTAGTCTGAGGGAGCCTGGGCAAAAGACTTTCCCCCTCTGGCCCTCATCCTGCTCAGCGCTAACATGGGAAGCATAAAGCCTGCCACCCATGCTGGTGGTGGTTTCAGTGCCTAGCACAGAACACACGGGCTCCCGAAGGCCTCTCTAAATGATAGCTACCTTTCTGTTACCCTTTGCCAGGCACTGCGGGCAGAGAGGAGTAAGGTGCTCAGAGCGCAGGGGGAGCTGCCTTCATTCCAAGCAAGCAGATCATGTATAGCTTGCATCCTGCTTCAGAAGCAGGAAGTGGCCGCTTACCATCAGCACCAGGGCTGATTTGACCCTGAAGCTAGTGAAATTTAAAAATTCAGGACTCCTGGCCTACACAGTCCCTTTCCAAGGGTACTATACTTACTTTTGTGTTCACAATTTTGTCTTCTTTTACTTAAAGAAGAGCCTAAAAAAAAAAAATCTTCAGGCTCCAAACACCCCTAGATCTTCCCGTCATCGCCCCTCCCACCTGTGTGCATGCATGTAAGTGTGTGTGTGCACACATGCATACACACACACACACCACAGCTATCAAAGAGAGGCATTCACAACCTGGAAAAATATGCATCAGGTGCAGCCTCGGAGGCTGTGCATAGGATTTTAGAAGGCCTACGTGGTTTGGCCTATGGAAGAGAACAATCTCTACCCCTCTGACGTAGCAGGTGCATAATACCAGGTCACTGGGCAGACAGCTACAGGTCTCGACCCTGGCGGACCCTCCCTCTTCCGTGAGAAAAGAACAGATCTTCCCCACTCTTCTCCTCTTCTTTCCCTCATTCTCTTCTTTCATCTTCAACAGACAGGCAAGGCTTCAGAGCTGCCTGCCAGTGACGGGGGCAGCCCATGTCTCCCCGTCCACCAAAGGGACGTTGTGTGCTGGGAAGAGTGGTGTTGTTGAGGGGCTTGGATGGGACATGGCGGAGCCAAAGGAGCTCACTGCTGACTCGGCGGCCACAAGCCTTTGCTTCCCAAGCCCTGGAGCCCCAAATGGGGAGGGCGGAGAACAGCTACAAAACAACCAGCTAATCCTGTCTAAGACTGAGAGAATCACTGACTAATTCCCATCCTCCCTCCTCAGTGAACCCTTCCAGGCCTTGAACAAGGGTTGTTGGAGCCCTCAGGGGGCGTAACTATCAGGGGGTCTTCCAGTTCCTCGTGGAGAACACATTTATCAGCTATATGGGCCTGGAATATGTTAAGCACTTGTAAGAATGCAGTCACACACCTACACGTGCACACACACGTCTGTCATGGGGCACCTCACACCTAGAGAATCCAAAACAGAACATGCCAGCTTTCCCCTAAATCAGAACTTCCTCTTCTCTTCCATTTCTAGAAACTGGCACTACTCTACAAGCCAGAAATGATATCATCCCTGACTACTCTCTTTCTCACTAGCTGCATCCAATTTTGGCCAAGTTCTGCCAACTCTGGCTCCAGAAAAGCTCCCAAATATCCCCCCATATCTCCGTCACCACTGCCAGACCCTAGTGCAGATCCCATTGCCTACGACTCCTGTATGTAGGGACTGCTCCCAATATACCATTTTCTAAATCGAGCTGCACATATCTTCCTTTAAAATTGCATTCAGGGGTGCCTGAGTAGCTCAGTCGTTAAGCGTCTGCCTTCGGCTCAGGTCATGATCCCAGGGTCCCGGGATCGAGCCCCGCATCGGGCTCCCTG